ACAGCAAGAAGCAAAGACCAGAGACCCCGCTGTTTTGAGCTGTGTGCAAGCTTGCTTGACAGCATAGACGTCGTCCTGGAAACCCACCCTGCATAAAATGTAAGTCTTCTTGAAACAATGCCATTCACCATGCAAAGAGTCTCTTTGCAAATGGAAAGCCTGCCCCGGGCGTGCGAGAGTGCCGAGCTTGCTTGACAGCATATATGCGTTTTGTTGAAAACCCCACCATGCGAGCATCCTCATGAACTGCCCCCCTTAAACCGCCCCGCCGCATAGATTTTGTTGTAAACCAGACATGCGAGCATCGTGATTGCAAATGGGGGGGGCTGCGCCCCCGCCAACCCCCCCACTGCTTTAAACCATGCAAGCTTGCGTGACCGCAGCTTTGCTTGACAGCAGATGTTTTTGTCTAAAACCAACCATGCGAGCATCTTGATTGCCGCCCTTAAACCCCCCCGGCCGCATGTGATTTGCGGTAAACCAGCCATACGAGGATCGTGATTGCAACTGGAAGGGGTTGCCCCCCCCAACCCCCCCCGCTGCTATAAGCCGTGATTGCATGACAGCATAGCAGTCGATGCTCAGGATGATGAATCTTTTACTTAGAAACAGCACCCTTCACCTTGTGAAAAGTGTGATTGCAATTGGGAAGCATGCGCCGGGCGTGCGAGAGTGGCATGCTTGCTTGACAGCACATACGCGTTTTTTGACCAACCATGCGAGCATCATGCTTGCTACTGGGGGAGGCCGCGAGCCGGAATTCCCCAATAGCTTGACGCAGGAACAAGCTCGAACACCGGAATCTCCCAGTAGCTTGACGCACAAGCAAACCCTGAACAAACTACACTCCCGCGACAGCTTGACGCACAAACAAACCCTGAAAACTAGAATCCCCCCAATAGCTTCACGCACAAACGAACCCATATCCCGCCAAACCTTTTAAACATAACCTGGCCGCCAAACCTTAAAGAAAAAGACTCCACCCAGCAGCAACAACAACATGAACACCAAGAGCAGTAGCAACACCAGTAACAAATAACACCAAAAGGCATGCAACCACAACGAGAACAACAGGAAGAACAGCAACAACAACGACACCACCAGCAGCAAAATGCAACAACAGCACCAACACCAGCACCAGCACCAACACCACCACCAACAAGCACAACAACAACAACAACATCAACAACAACAACAACAACTACTACTACTACTACTATTACTACTACTATGACTACTACTATTACTACTTTTATTACTACTACAACTACTACTACCACTACTACTACTATTACTAGTACTATGACTACTACTATTACTATTTTTATTACTACTACTACTACTACTACTACTACTACTACTACTATTACTATTATTATTACTATTACTATTACTATCACTATTACTATTACTATTACTATTACTATTACTATTACTATTACTATTACTATTACTATTACTATTACTATTACTATTACTATTACTATGATTACTTACTATTACTTACTATTACTATTACTATTACTATTACTATTACTATTACTATTACTATTACTATTACTATTACTATTACTATTACTATTACTATTACTATTACTATTACTATTACTATTACTATTACTATTACTATTACTATTACTATTACTATTACTATTACTATTACTATTACTATTACTATTACTTACTATTACTATTACTATTACTATTACTATTACTATTACTATTACTATTACTATTACTATTACTATTACTATTACTATTACTATTACTATTACTATTACTATTACTAGTATTACTATACTACTATACTATTACTATTACTACTATACTATTCTACTACTACTACTACTACTACTACTACTATTATATTGTATAACTATTATTTTATTACTATTACTATTACGATTACTATTACTATTACTATTACTACTACTATTACTACTACTACTACTACTATTACTATTACTATTACTATTATTATTACTACTATTACTACTATTACTATTACTATTATTATTACTATTACGATTACTATATACTATTACTACTATACTACTTACTACTTACTACTTACTATTACTATTACTATTACTATTACTATTACTATTACTATTACTATTACTATTACTATTACTATTACTATTACTATTACTATTTACTATTACTATTACTATTACTATTACTATTACTATTACTATTACTATTACTATTACTATTACTATTACTATGACTATTGCTATTACTATGACTATTACTATTACTATTATTATACTATTACTATTACTATTACTGTTACTATTACAATTATTACTATTACTATACTATGTAAATTACTATTACCTTACTGTTACTACATTATTACTTATTACTATAATATTACTATTACTATACTATTACTATTACTAATATTAAATTACTATTACTATACTATTACTATTACTACTACTACTACTACTACTATACTATTATTATTACTAGTACTAGTACTAGTACTAGTACTAGTACTAGTACTAGTACTAGTACTAGTACTAGTACTAGTACTAGTACCAGTACCAGTACCAGTACCATTACTATTACTATTACTATTATTATTACTATTACTATTACTATTACTATTACTATACTATTACTATTACTATTACTATTACTATTAGTATTACTATTACGATTACTATTACTATTACTGGTACTTCACTATTACTATTACTATTACTATTACTATTGCTGAGAATGTATGGAAAAGCCGATTTTCCCGAGGAACAACCAAGGTAACGTATGTTTTCCTGCTGAAAACCTAAGGAAACGACACGGAAGCCGTAGGAAAACAGTGTTTTCCCTACGAAAAACCAAGCAGGCGTCTCTCCACCCAGACCGCAACCGCAGAGTCTTAGAGTTTCAATCCAGAAGCTTCGGATGCTATAAGCGCACGGGGCAAAAAAGAAGTGTGAGAGAACTGCAGCATTGTGGCAGGAGCTTCTGACAGTCCAGCAGCTGCCGCGAGACGAGCGAAGAAGTTTGGGAAGCTTTGAAACCGAAAAATCCACAAAAATCCAGAAAACATACGCAAGGAAGAATTCCAGTCAGAGGTGGAGAACGGTCACGGTCACCAGGCTAGATTCCGAAAACCAAGGAAAGCATAACTAAAACCAGGAAAATATACAAAAAAAACAAGAAAAATACACAAAAAAGAACTCCAGTCAGAGGTGGAGAACGGTCACGGCCACCAGGCTAGATTCAGAAAACCACGGAAAACAGAACTAAAACCAGGAAAATATACAAGAAAAAACCAGAAAAATAGACAAAATAAATACTCGCTCCTATTGGTCTGTTGGAGTGCGAGTTTCATCTACCTTCAAGCCTGAAGTCGTCGAACCATCGTTCCTCCGCCCTTTTTTGGCTTGATCCAGCGTCATCAACTGAACCACGTCACCGCACAGCCTTTCCTTTTCAAGCTGCCCTTCCCCTGGGGAGGAGGTCAAACCAGCAGTATAATCACTCCCCCAAAGTCCTCGTTGACTAGTCACTCTTGCTCTCGCAGCGGGTGCTGAGGATAAATTAATGCATCTCGTAGTTCTAGTTCCACATGTAGACGAAGTCCGCAATGAGGGAGCCGGGGAGCCCGTCCACAATGGCCTGTACTAAAAGCTCCCCGCCTCGTGCCGGATCAAAAAAGAAGCTCGGCTCTTTCATCAAACTTAGCTGCACTCACGTCATTTGTGACTACCTAAATCCTGGTCGGGGGACGTAGGGTTTTTTCCAGTATCATCAGCAACTGTAGAAGTATTGGCGGCATTCGCGGTGCATGCCTGTCAGAGCAAGCGCGGTATAGGGGAAGGGACAGCTGCCTTTGCGAGAGAGGCAAAGTCAAGAGAGAGTAGTGGGCTGCAGGAACGAGTAAAGCAACAGCTCATGTTCTCAATTGCAAACCATGTGGAAGGTGAAGCTGTTGGCGCAGAGACAGGCGCGCACTTTGACTGTCAAGGTGTCCCCTGTTTTTCTGCAATGCCAAGGGTAGACACGGCAATGGAGGCTGGGAAGGTTTATCTGCAGCTTTTGGTGGAGAAAGGCGGGTTTCGCGGGTTGAGGGTTGGGCAGGGGTGTCCTCATCATGAAGCAAGCTACCTGGCTTTCTGGAACAACAGACGACATGGCGGAAACAGCCAAACAGTCAATGATCTTCGGGATATGCTTCATGCTGCGAAGAGAGCCCTCTCAGCAAAGGAGCGGTCGAGGGGAACCCAACTCAGCAGTCGATGGATGCCCATAGTTGTGGCTGTCGAAATGAAGCTATGCAAGCGAGCGTGGGCAAGCACTGGGGTAAGAGCCTTTTGAGGTACCCACATGTTCCATCACATGACCATTGATGCCCTCGGTGCTTCTATCCCCGGCGCATGGTATGAGTCACAAACTCTCTGAGAGACTCTCGCTCATGACTTTGAGCCGGGTGTTTGTTTTGAGGCTGCAAAAGGATGCTGTCCTGTGAGGGATTGAGTGGCAAAAACTGTTGGCCTGTCAGGTGGTCCGATCTAGGAATTTCCGGCCTGCTAGTCTGCTACCAGTAGTCTTCAGGCTCTCCTACGTAGGGCCCCGTGATGCTGATGCAGGCCTTTAGCAGCTTCTTTGCACTACAGATGTCGTCCTCTATGGTGTGTTTCCGTCACAGCAAACGAAAAGACCGCACCGAAAGTGCGGAGCTTTTGCATCTGCCCTCATGAGTTTTCTCTCTCTATCTTCAGATGACAACTATTGTGGTTTCAGGTTGATCAACGCTGCCTCCCTTAGCAACCACTCGTGAAGTCGATACCGAAGCGATGCATCCGTGACGTGATGACGCAAGTGCCCTAATCGCCCAGGTGTCCCTTTGCCACCGTGTACCATACTTTGACCGTGCGTTTGTTGGTAAACTGCCAGAGCACGGATTTCCTGATCGGCAAAGCGCCAGGGCACCCCCTGAACGGAGCGGCACAGGGCCTGTCGGACCGACCCGAAGACCTGAAAGGATGTTCCGTGTTCGTAGAAAAGCCTCCTGGCAGGCTGACGAGGCCGAGCGCCGCCGGAGCGCTGACCAGTCTTTCCTGCTGCTGGAGGCTGGCCACGGGCTCTTCAACCGGCGGTTCAACATTGTGAAGTGCACCCGTGCGGTTGTGTGTGCTGAAGACATGGCGGGAAGCAGAAGCATGGAGTTTAGACATGTCTATGATTGGTGACCTGTGTGGCACTGCAGGAGCGCGGAAAGATGATCATCTCGCAAGAAGAGATAGAGGCCTCACCATGGCATTCCCTTTCTCTTTCCTGCGAACGAACCCTTGCGGCACATCGATTCTGCTTCCGTGCTGTCGCCCGTTCGATTCCCAGCAAACCTGGATATGTTTCAAGTCCAGGGCCGCAAAGTGTGTGGTAGCCGTGAGCCATGCTGCAACTGCAAATTCTCGCTGTCGTGCAGTCAGGCCGAGCCTATGTCCGCAGAGGAGGACACCCGGGCAGCTCAATGGGTGCGGTGTAGGGTCGTGTGCTTGTTTGTGCCCCTTGTGCTTCTTGAAGGGCGAGATCGGTTGTAATCCATGTTTTGAACAGCGATCTCTTTACCCCTGCTCGCCAAGGCCTTACCCCTCGAATCCTTCATCCAACCTACGCGTAGCCTGCGGTGACCCATCCCACATGCGAATGGAATTCAAAGCTGTTCTTAAGGCACAAGGGCTGGCGTGTCAAGGATAGCTGTGGCTGCTCCTGACAACTGTCTTGCAGCGTGTTTAGAAAGGAGGTGCCAAAGAAAGGAGATGAAAGGAGCAAGAAGTGCAAACGCGGGAACGGATCTTGCTGGGATCCGCTGGTTCTCTTTCGGCGGAGTGTCTGTCTTTTGCAACGTGAGGCTGCAATGCTTGTACCCTGCTAGATTGTGAGGTGCGCAGCAAAGCGCCAACGCGATGTCTCCCGTGTCTTCCGTTCATGCGCATGGTATCAGATATCATTTCCTTAAACGGCATGGCACGGTGCACCACAGCCGGACATGGTAGATTCTAGACAGTATGCTGTCGCGAGGCATCTGCGACCAGCAGCAGCATCGAGGCCGCTGCGCTGAGGCCATCCTTGGAGGACCATGGCAGTCCGTGTCCTGTGTTCAAGGCCTGCGCATAGCCTAAGCCGCCGCAGCAGTCCGCAACAGTTTCGGCAAGCTTGCACCCTGAACACTCCCAATCTTCAGGTCCGGTTCGGGCATACGTCAAAACAACACTGGGTGCGACGTTTGCTGCGATGCCGGGCCACGGCCGCTTCATTTCTGCTCACTGCGACTGTGGACAGCCGAAGCATCACTGCTGCCTGCAGGAGCGCATCGAGTACAACCCTCTCAAGGCATCGACTCCGAGCAACCCCATCATTGAAAGGGCAGCACCTAGTCCTTGTCGCATGCCTGTCAGAGCAACTGCCGTAAAGGGGAAGGGAAGCTTGCCTTTGCGAGAGAGGCAAATGCGACCGAGAGCAACGCACAGCAGGTACGCCTAAGGCACAGCCTCATGTTCTCAATTGCAAATCACGCGGAAGGTGAAGCTGTTGGCGCGGAGCCAGGCGCGCAGCTTCAGGAGCTTTCAAGGATCTCAAAGATTAAAGTATAATTAAAGTATCCAATGTTTCCGCAAGGCTACCTCATGTTGTGGAGGAACTCACAACATGGCGGAAGCAGGAGCGCATTCAAGAATCTTCGGGATTTGCTTCATGCAGCCCAGAGCCCTCTCAGCAAAGGAGCAGACGAGGGGAACCTAACTTAGCAATCGATGCTAAGAGTTGTAAGCCCGGCAAGCACTGGGGTAAGGGCCGGTAAGGGTCTTTTTGAGGTAGCCACACATCCTCCATCGATTTGCACTACAAATCAGATGTCATAACGCCTCTATGGTGTCTTTCCGTCACAGCCAGAGACCGCGCCGAAAGTGCCGAGCTTGCCCATCTGCTCAGTTTCTCTGGATATTGAGACGAGAGCTTGCGTAGCCTGAGTTGATCAATGCTGCCTCCCTCAGCAATTAGTCGTTGAATCCGATAGCAAACTAACGTCGCAGGAGTCTTAACCTGAGCACATCCGATTTCCGCTAATCGATACCCTGAACGGAGCGGTAGAGCCGACCAGAAGATTTGCGTGGATGTTCCATGTTCGTAGAAAGCCTCTTGGCAGGCTATCGCGGCGAACTGCCGCCAGAGGGCTCACACTGCCTTCCTGCTGCTGGAGGCTTCGCTGCACCGCTTCATTTCAGCACTCTAAAGCAAGTGCTCCAGCCACTGTTTGGTAGTTTCGAGATGCCGCTTCTTCAGGACATGGCACCCGTGGCGAGGACAAGGTCTCGCGGACGGTCTGCTTCGCCTTCAGCAGCGTGGCGGTGCATCCCATCGCCTTTGTTGGCGCCTCTCGGTGGCCATGGGCAGTTCGCAGTAAGAGTGTTGTCATGACGTGGAGCGCATCCGAACCGCATGATGAGAGATTCTTTAAAGCCGCAATGAATCCCGCAGGGACACAGACGTGATCATTGATGCAACTGGTAATAAACGGACCCGTCAGACAGACGTAAATCTTTGCTCTTTGACGAGGCATTCTTGCACGGCCTGCGCGTTAAAAGCAAAGTAAATACCTGGCTGTTCGTCTAGCGTCCAGGTGTGCGTTTGAATCCCTTGCCGTGTGTTTATGTTGTCAGTTGAACCTGCTTGATATTACACATGTTGTGCTGCATGTTCAAGTGTTGGGCCTTGTTGATCAGCCAAAAGCTGAGTGTCGATTCTGCTTGTTGTTCTCAGGATTCTGTTCTTGACCCCAGTACTGAGTGTTCTGGCAGCTTCGCACGCAAAGCATGTTCTTTTCGGATCTGCCCGACTGTATCGGACTTGTGGCTGCGCGAGCTTGAGCATGTCGTGCCGACCTTGAAGCCTGTGTGTTGATCCAACATTCAACCTTTCGCACCCGCCCCACTCCGCCCAAATCGGTGCGGTGGCAGGTGGTCTCGCAGCATGCTTGGTGTTTGAAGACCGGCACGATGAGACCGACCCCCCGCAGCCTGCCGATGCTTGCCGCCATGTGCATGGCTGTGCGGCGAGATGCAGGTGTGCGTGTAAAGTGAAATCTATAGCACCATGATACGGGTGTGAGCGACAGCGCGTATTTGCATGGACTTGTTAGTGCGATTGCTTGACTGCTCGCACTGTTGGGTGCTCACAGTTGCGCCTGCTGCTCAGCAGGCAGTGGGTTGGGCGATGGGCCCAGCCAAGTGCAAGTAGAGACATTTTGCTTTTCCCGCCCTCCACACCTTGCAAAATGCAAGAGTTGGGTTTGGGTCTCGATAACCGGCTGCAATTTCGCCCGGGGCTTGGAGACCCAAGAGCATTTCTCAATTTGAAGGTGACCGCAGGGGAAGGTTCGTCATTGCTGTATTGTCTGACCTGGTAGAGGGTTGGAGGTAGTGATGCGTTTTAAGTTGATCCCAGCGCCAGTCTTGTGTCAGCGGTCGAGCTGATGCCAGTCCAGAGCCTGGACTATCAAAGCCCACACCGGGAAGAAGGAAGGAACAGATTGTGTGTGTGTGTGTGTGTGTGTGTGAACCTCCCTAGCACATGGGAGCAGAGGGTCACTCCTACACTGTTTGCAATTTTTGCTTTTCAACATAATCAGACATTGGACACTAACCAAATCAACTGTTGCAGGGGCATTGGGCACTCCCTGGCAGACCCAATGCAACGAAGCTATGCCATGGAGTGGGAAGCAGTTCAGGACGCTGAACTGTGTACCTGCAAGCTGGGCCCCCTGAGGCAGCCAGATTAGAAAACGCTGGCCCCCTGAGGCAGCAAGATTAGTACATTTACGGTTTCCACCTTTTGATTGAGCATAAAGCTTTGCACGTTTGCCGCAATCTGACAAGCTTTTGCAACAACATGCCTCTCTTTTTCCTCTTGCACTCGTACTCTTGGCCGAATCCATCAGTGTGATCAGCGTGGGTCGTTGAGACTCCAGAGCAACGGCTTTCCGTCATGGCGCCGTGGTGACCCTCCGGGGAGACCGGTGATGAACCGGGTGTTCAGCCTTCGTTCAGATCGTTCAGATTCTCCCGATGCTATTTTATCTCTCTCTCTCTGATGCTCGCATGTGCGTCTGACATGAGTGCAGGTGCAGTAATGGACGGCTAATGCAGTAAAGTGCGTCTAGTGAGCAGGTGCTACCTCGCTAGTCTGTCCTCTATTCGACCGCTTCTTTATTTCTCAGGGACTGCAAGGGCATGTGCAACTGACATGAGGGCAGGCGTGGTAACATGTGTCTAACGCAAGTGAAGCAGCGCTTCCTCCGGGAAGTAATCGGCCTTCTTCTTTCTCTCCGTCTTCGACCTCTCAAGTCCGTCCAGCAGGGACAACCAGGACAGCCTGCACTTTGCTTGTGCAACTGTGTTTGTTTCACCAAATTCGTTGCAGCTATGTGGCCGGATTATTTTACCACGCAGCCACCAGCAACACCATATGCACCAACAACCCGACCGGTGCTCAATCAGTTTCACCCGAACACCTGGGTACCGCAGTCACAAGGATATCCAGCAATGATGCCAACTGGCATTGCTGCCACTCAGCAGCACACACTGCCGACGCAACCCACTACGATCCCCGTTGAGCAGACACACAGCTTCCCCATGATGCCATGTGGACACACTGCTCCTATACCACAGCATCCGATGGTATACACACAACTCAGCACACCACAGCCCCAGATGCCACAACAACCTCCACCCCAGCAATTCATGTCGCAACATCCCCCCACTTTCTTGAACCCTGGTCCTTTGCCTACCCATACAACAGTTTTTCCCACGAGCCCATCACCTCTGACACCGCATCACTCCCAGCCTGCCACATACAACATTCCTTTCACACCACCTGCTCCACAACCCCAACCTGCACCTTGCAGCATCCCTTCCACACAACCCGCTCAACAATCCCATATACCGCCGCCAACGACCCTCCAACAAGCTTCACAATCTCACCCCACCAATGTTACCACTACCGATGCTGCACACATTGCCCCACAGACACCGGCAATCACCCCCCAACCCCAGCCAATAAGCACAGCCAACACACCCTCTGTCAGCACATTACCACCCACACAACCACCACCCGCTACGGGATCGGGAGACACTGACCCGCTCGCAGCACGTGCTTCTTCCCACCATCCTCCGTTGCCACGCAGGAGACGGCACTCACCCACACGCAGCAGAACCCGCACCGTGAGCACTAGACGCCGACGACGCACACGCAGCAGAGCACGACCTGCCAGCAGCGGGAGACAGCACCGCCGACGCAGACACCACCGATCCCGCGACACCCGCAGAAGTCGTTCTCGCAGGGACACCAGGCGATCTTCGTCGACACCTCCGCGGACCTCGGTTGTGCTCCGCAGCTATTCTACAGTGCGTGATGTTGATACCAACAAGTGGCATTACAGAGCCACACAGCTACGTCAGAGGCCACCCACCCCACCCAAGGTCCCACAAAGGACATTGGCCTCGCAGGTTCAGCGAATCGCCCTCCGCATCAAGGGCAGCCAAGCAGCACAACAGCAGCCCCCAGCCGGACAGGGCACCTCCTCCCGCCAACAGGCTCAGCACAATCCCTCCAGCTCCGTTCGGACACCTGCCCCGACTTACGATGCATCAACAGCCGTTGCCCCATCGGGTCAGCCAACCCTCGAACAACTGGGCAAACAGAGCAGACCACCACAGATTGATGTGGCGCCATTTTCTGAGCTTTACGAACATGAGAAGCCGACCCCTCACGCCGTCGACATGGAAGAAGCACACAAACTCGCCAAAACTTTGGGCGAGATAGCTGCTGACAGCGATTTCAGGCAGGAGACTTTAGCCGAATTTGCACATGCAGTGCTACAATCAGGCACGCGATCAGCGTGCAACGAACTTGGGGCAGTGCTGACGCCAATATCGGACGGCGTGCGTACTATGTTATTCATTTCTTGGGCTGGAGAGCAGCGCAGAGCGTTCGGCACCCGTGCCACTGACCCACCAGGAGTGACATACATCTACACCGCCGGACACGGCACGAGCATTGCAAGTGCCGCGCGCATTATGCGCGAGGACTTGGTCCGCCCAAGTTCAGTCAGACACTGCTTCGACGACAAGTCCTACCCACCCATTCCCTCTTGCGTCATATACGGGAATGCGACCCCAGGAGATGTATCGGAAAGCACGGTACATATAGTAACCGATCAATGTACACGGCGGCCGAAGGGCCAACAGGGAGTGATCGTCATCGGGACAATACGGACTAAGTATCAGCATTACAAGATGACGTATCGGGACATGTATAGAGAGGCCTTCATCGTGGGGCGAAAGGGTGTTGTGCGGACCCCAGAGAAGTGGGGATTCCACTCGGGGCATTTCAGCATCGTTGGATTCGGCCTTATTCAGTGATGTTCTGTATTACTTTCTTTCTTCTTCCGTGTCTACCTTTCACTCTCGAGTATCCTTTCTCTTCCAGGCCTGAATCCCGTTGCACATAGCTGTATGCAATCAAGCATTTGCTCCGACCCCGCTTTTGAGCCAAAGAAGAGACGATGCAGCTGCATGCTGGATGCATTGCACAAGTAGATGCTGACACTCAAGCCAACTATGTTGTCCATGCACGTGCTATTTGCAGCTTTTGCAGTCACAGGCAATTGTAGTGCCCCATTTTGCAACCATGTACAAGCCGACACAGCCTCAGTGGCATACAGCAATGCCAACAGGCATCATCGGTACAGCAATCAGTGCGGTGCAGCGACAAACAGCCTCAACCAGCAGCACCCCAATGCACCCGATTTCCCCACCACCAGGGATCCACAACATCCCACCCCACACCTCACCCATGACCCCAACTACTTGGGGTTCAGCTCACCCTTACAGCCACAACACCACTTTCCCCCCTTTCCCTCCACCCCCTCCCCCACCCCAGCAGTTTACCGTCCCAGCTTCACCCACCACACTGCCAACACCCACACCTGCCACTCCCCAACACACATTTGTGAGTCCATCTCCGATGACGACTCAAAACCCCAGCATTTCTTCACATACATTGCCTCAGGCCACCGTCACACCCCAACAACAACAACACACCAATCTCACGCCTGCAAATCCCCAGATACCAAACGACTTCGTTCAAACACCAGAGCATTGGGACAACAGACAGCTTTACGGCCTCAACCTACCCAAACACATTCAATCTACACCACATTCAGTGCACAACCGCACGGCAGGCATGCCGATCGCAACAGCACCATTGGTCGCATTTCTAAGACACAATTGGTCATCATACTGGCTACGTTACGCCGCACACGGCTTCGACATCCATCTCACATGCAGCAAACATATCAGCGAAGCCGTCTTTA